AATTCTTTCCTGAACCACAAGTAGCACCACGCAGATGTCCTCTAACGCAGGCTGAAGGGGTGCTCCTTGACCAAGTCCTTTGACGAGATTTCTTTAAGGAACTTAGAAAATAGGCTTAGTAAACATTTTTATGGAAGAGGGCTGTGAAAGCCCAGAGCAACATCAGTGGATTTGGGAGAATAAAGGCTGCAACTCTGCTTGCTCAAGACCCCTCAGCCTACAGGAAAGAGGTTATGCATCTGGAGTTTTGTTTGACTTACTCTTTCTTTAAAGTCCTAATCAATGATCATCTAGCAAAAGTTATCATGTTGTCCCCTCTCACATTCTTTTTTTTTTTTTTTTTTTTTTGGTTTTTTTCGAGACAGGGTTTCTCTGTGGCTTTGGAGGCTGCCCTGGAACTCCCTTGGTAGTCCAGGCTGGTCTGAAACTTACAGAGATCCGCCTGCCTCTGCCTCCCAAGTGCTGGGATTAAAGGTGCGCGCCACCAACGCCCGGCCCCCCTCTCACATTCTTGATAATAGCTCATGAAGGCTAGTCTGGCTTCTTTCTTGCCATGCCACTTGAAACAGAAAAATATTATGTTAGGCTGGTATTGTAGGCTTTTAGGTTCACAATTTCAAGATCTTTCTGGGCTATAGGGTGAGTTCAAGCCCAATTCACACAACTTAGTAAAACTCTGTCTCAAAATAAAAATCAAAAAGAGAGCTAGGGGAATATACCTTGGTGGTAAAGCACTTGACTGGTGTATGTCAGACCCTAGGTTCAATCCCCAATACCATTTAAATATGTATATTAGGCTATATTAAAGAGATATAGGGTTAGAGAGATTGCTCAGTGGTTAGGAACATTTGCTGTGCAATAATGAGGACTAGAGTTTTGAATCCCACACAACAACCCTAGTGTCCCATGAATTCCAAAACCCCATTTCCAACAGAGGTAGAGACAGGAAGCTCACTGGCTTCCAGTAGCACCAATAAAATGCAAGTCCCAGGATCAAGGAGAGACCATGTCTCTGAGGAATAGGCAGAGAGAGACAAAAGACTAAATCCAATTCCTTCTTCTGACTTCTGCACTCATGCACAGGCTTAATCATCTTCACACACGTGTGCCACATACTTGGGCCTGCATTCACACACAAAGACACATCCATAAATACATAAGTGTTTACAAATGTTAACGAGATTGATTGGTACTACAATGAGTAACTACATTAAATTAGCAGATATATTGTGAAAGCTCAAAAACCCGATTTTTTGGATAACCTTCATCTTGCTCATGGCTGTCAGTGATATCAGGAAGCTTTCTGTTGCAACATCTGTGCAAGCCTTCTACCAGGTTGCTGTGGTCCATTGTGCCTCTGACTATTACCTTGGGTACCATTTCTTTTCTTTTATTTGAGACAGTCTCACTATGTAGCCTGGTTAGCCTGGAACTCACTATATAGATCAGGCTGGACTTTGACTCATATCTTGCTTCTGACTTCCCAGTGCTGGGATTAAAAGTGTATACCACCCCATCTACCAGCTATCATATATTATTGCACCATCCTAGACAGTGTGACTCATTTATTTTTTTATTACCCTATCTGATGTACCAACGCTAGCTAAGCTGTTATCTTCCAGAAAATGCAATCAATTTTAGGATGGATTCTCTTTGAAGATTCTCCCTACTCCGTTTCTACTATGAATCAGTGGGAATGCCACTGCCACAGTCGAAGAGAGCAGCTGCAGCTGAATAATGATCATGCAGAGATTTCTTGGAAGCTGCAAATGTTGACTTATTTGACAAAAAAAGTATTAGGGGGTGGTTCCAATATAATTAAAGATCTTAGGCTAGGGAGAGTTTCCTGTATTACCTGGGTAGAACCTATCGGCTTCATAAGTGTCTTCATAAGAAAGATCTGACATACTGAGAAGCTAGAATGCTTTGTACCTTCCCAACCAATTTTCCCATCAATTAACCAATACTTCAGAAACCTTCAATATGAGGATAGTCTTTATAGCAAAACCCTGAAAAAACTGAGGATTCCTGAAACATTTCCCAAGAAACTGAAAGGTTAAATTTACTGATTTCCCTGTCTCCTTAGCCAAAGACATAGCCATTGAATTCATTTGGGTCACTGGAGTATGTTATGTGACACTGACAAGAGTCAAAAGTCAGGAAGCTGATGGAACGAGAAGTAAGGGAAGTGTCAAAGAGCCATCCTTGGTACATAATAGCAAAAGCAGAGGGAAGGAGGCGGGATGGGATAAAACTTAAAAGGCCTGGCAGAGTCTCAGGGTGGGAGCTTTTGTGGGTGAGCAGGTCAGAGTCTTGAGAAAGATTCAGGAGCTTAAGTCAGGCAGGATAAACAACATTTAGTGGTCGCCAGGGCTTGGAAAAGAAGAGTTAGTAGTAATCTCCAAGACACTGAGTTTGTCTAGGATATAAGAATTCAGGATACAGATTGAAGAAAGAAGAAAGACATACTTCCCAGGCAGAGAAAGGACTTTAATAATATTTAAGTTGACATTTGTGCTTATTTATGGAGTATAGTATTGTAATTCAATACAACTATGTACTACACAAAAATCAAATTGGGATAATTGGTGTATCTCCTCAAAAATCACTTCCATGTGTTGGGAACGTTCAGACTCTAATTATTTTAAATGTATATTCCTCCTCCCTTCCTGCCTTCTAATTTACTCCTATTCTACTATCTACTCTAAATGATCAGTTGCTTTTTAGATTCCACAGATGGGCTAGAATGTGCAGCACTTGTCTTTCTGTGCCTGACTCAATGCGATGAAAGTGATGAGAGGCTGCAATGCAGCATCGTGCTAAAACCCTTGCCTGGCATATACAAGGCCTGAGTTAAATCCCCAGCAACGGAATGGTGGTGGAGGACCAGTATTGAGGATTTTTAATAAACCCAGCCAGATCAAGCAGTGGGGGTGGTGGGATGTCAAAAAAGTCTTTTGTTGTTGTTTTGTTTTCTCATAAAGTAGGATGAATTAGAGAAGTGGAAGCAATATAAGAAGCTGTTAAAGCTGTGGTTAGGGGATTATTAATGGAATTTCAAAGTGGCAGTTACCATATGAAGGCAAACGCTTATATTCTCAAGGCCATTCTCAAAACCTTCGTCTCAAGATGAATGTGGTGGTGATGCACACCTTTAATCCCAGCACTTCCCAGGAAGAGGCAGATGGATCTCTGTGAATTTCAGACCACTATGGGCTACATAGTGAATCCCTGTCTTAAACAACAACCAAACAAACCAAAGCTGTTGTGGAATATTTTGATCATACTCTGACACTCCAGAGACTGACAAAGTTTACCTTGACTCCCAGGGTGGAGCTAGTTATTAGCTGAACAAAATTAGCCATAGGGGTTTTGGAGGACCCAGGACATATAGAGAGCACAGGAAGTAGTAGGGAGAGGCTTAGAAAGAGGCTTGACCCAGCCAGGCGTTGGTGGCACACGCCTTTAATCCCAGCACTCCGGAGGCAGAGGCAGGAGGATCTCTGTGAGTTCGAGGCCAGCCTGGTCTACAGAGCGAGTTCCAGGACAACCTCCAAACAATACAGAGAAACCCTGTCTTGAAAAACCAAAAAAAAGAAAAAAGAAAAAGAAAGAGGCTTGACCCTCTTGGAGGAGAGGGTGAGGGGGACTGGGAGGCTGGGGGGAGGTCACTGGTCACTGAAGGGCCCAGACCCTCACCCAACCCCCTGCTTTGGCAGCCATGACAGGATGCAGAAAAGACCCAGCAAGACGTAGGCCCACACACACACACACCTTTTCCTAATTACTGGGAAGAAACTGCCGGATACCCTTCATGTGTTAAGGAACCAATCAGAAGTTACCTGGCAGGCTTTGAAAGTGCTTAAGTGCCCTTGAATGGCCTCTAGCATAAACCTTTTTGCAGCTGCAGCTGACCAATTAACTTGGGACAGGTTCTCCCAGCCCGGAGGTTTGCCAATCCTGAGGTTGTTAATATGCAACTAGCAGGACCTTCCCCCTCCCCCCCCCCCTGCGCCCCCTGCCCCATATATGCCCTGCCCCACTGCTGCCCCTCATATCTCCTACTCCACCCACTGTGTGGGACAGATGAAGGACCCAAGGTAACTCATAATTTAAAAGACTCTTTGGTTTTGCATTGGATCTGGTCTCTTGGTGGTTTGGGGGGGTCCAGAGTCTGGGTGCAACAGTTGCTTCTCTGCCATGTCTCTGATCAATCAGGTTTTTACCCTGATATCTCACACCTAAGTTTTTATTGATAAAAGAATAATTAGATAAATGCTACGTGTGGTACCCATCATGTGGCATATAAATCTACATTGGGCCTGAGAAAGCTGAAAAATAAGTTCTGAGTAGGTTCTGTGCTTATGGCGTAGAGGCATGACTCTTCTAGGAACCCGGCTACTGAGCACTTGAATGGTATTTATGAACAGTGCTACATGGTGGCCAGAGACTAGGTCAAAGTGCCTACCACAATATAGACCTAGAATTTTCCCAGTCTCCAGGCCAGGCCCACAGGCATGAGCTCCCCTCTCACTGACACAAAGGGGGTAGAGACAGCCTCCGGGCCATGTGCTAAGCTGAAGCCACACAGCAGAGGGCCTAGCTGCCATTTAGTAGTTTAAGTTTCGGCTCATGCCTCAGAGAACTCTTTAAGCGTGTGGCTACAGGTGCTAGGAAAGTTAGGCCCCGATTGAGAAAACCTCTGAACAGATAGAATATGCTTAAAAATGTTCTTAGATGCTGAAGAAAATGGGTATAGACAGTCATAGAAAAATAGTTTTAAAATAATAAAGTTAAGTCTTTAAAGAGAGAGTAAAGTAATAATAATAATAAACTGCATAAGGATAGGATATACACAGGGCACCTGGGTCCTGTGTGTTGCTTTGTTGACTGAATTTTTTAAAATGCTGATGAGTGAATAGCAGCTGCTTTAGGGAAGTCTCAGATTCAGAATGGAAATGTGTTTCATTGGGTGAGAGGGTATGCTTTTGTTTCCACAGGAAAAGAAAAAGCTTTGGATTCCTTCAAAATTAATAAAGATCAGCTTTGACCAGGGGAGACCGCCTGAGGATCTCGGCTTCAGACACGAGGAAGGAAGCCAGGAAAGACTACAGGACACGTGCTGTGTATGCTGATCCCTTTGCATGGGAACATCTTTGAGACTGGATGAGACATGATAAATCTTGTTGGCTACAGAGTCCTCATAACAGTGTGGCTATACAGTCCAAATGCACTTATAAAGTTGACAGATGCCTTTTATCTACCCAACACAGAGCAACAACAAAAAAGATCATCTTTAGCTGACTTGTCCACACTGTACATTCCATACTTGTGTTAATGCAGATATGATGTTAGCTTTAAAAGTTTGTGTGCCTTCAGAATAAAAGAACCACATACCAATAAAGACACGTAGCCCAAGTGATCCAGCATCTCAGAATGCCTCTATTGCAATTTCCTCAAAATTCTGCATCCAAAACAACTCCAAAGCTGCTAGCTGAGATGGTCCAGCCTCAAGCACTACTCCAGACAGGACTTCAGATAAGCCTTGCACTTTCCAATTACACAGAGACTGAACAAGTAGCTAGCAATCCCAGGACTTGACCACTGCCTTAATTTTATCAGGGTCTCCTTGATGTGGGAAGTCCTGTGATTATGTCAATAAAGCACTGTTGGGCCAATAGGAATTGAGATAGGTGGGACTAGGAGTCCAGGAGGACTCTGGGAAGGAGAAACACAGAGAGTCTAGATGTAACGCCATGGGGTAGGAAGCCTGGAAACTGCTCCACTAAGAGACATACTTAGATTAACAATTATGGGCCAGGCGTTGGTGGCACACGCCTTTAATCCCAGCACTGGGGAGGCAGAGGCAGGCAGATCTCTGTGAGTTGGAGGCCAGCCTGGTCTACAAGAGCTAGTTCCAGGACAGCCTCCAAAGCCACAGAGAAACCCTGTCTCGAAAAACCAAAAACCAAAAACAAAAAACAAAAACAAAAACAATTATGGAGTAATTACTTAAATCAGAGCTAGCCAGTAAGAAACAAGCAAGGCCAATAGCTTCATAATTAATATAGTCTCCTGTGTGTTTATTTGGGACTGATGCGGCTCTAGAACCAGGCTGGCGGGAAGGCTTCTCTCAAGGAAAAGGCTTCCCTTTACATCTCCTAAAGATTCCATTGCTCCAAGACAACAGGAAGCAGTCTAGAGAACACAACATCCACATTCACAAGAGGCAGTTGGGTGATTTTAGGTCATTTAATGACTTATAGATGTTTATCATTTCTTAGGGAAGTTGGTTGCAAATTGTTACTGGTCGTGGTAAAGGAAAAGACTAAGCAAGGGAGGCTGAATTCAAGGATCTCTTTCTGAAAAGAAAAAGGGAGATATGGAAAGGATAGGATAAGAGAGTAGATTGTTAAATCTACTTTAAACTATTGATCTCAAATATTTTATACTGGTATAGATTTTTGTATATTTATACAAATTTAAGGTTACTTTTGTTATTCTGTATATATGCTACTACTCTTATTTAAGTTATTGTACCTATGCAGCTTATTTAAAAATGTAATATATATGTTGGGCAATGGTGGTGTACACCTTTAATCCCAGCACTTTGGAGGCAGAGGCAGGCAGATCTCTGTGAGCTCATGGCCAGTCTGGTCTACAAAGTGAGTTCCAGGACAACCAGAGCTGTTGCACAGAGAAACCCTGTCTTGAAAAACAAAAAAGTAAGAAAAATGTAATTTATAATTAAGAAATACAGGTTAGGCTGGGTAATGGTGATGCACGCCTTTAATCCCAACACTTGGCAGGCAGAGACAGGTGGATCTCCGTGGGTTCGAGGCCAGACTGATCTACAAAGTGTAGCTCCAGGGTAGCCAAAACTACAAAGAGAAACCTTGTCTTGAAAATCTAAAAGCAAAAAGGAAATACAGGTTAGTGGTTAATCATCTATAATGATCAAACTTGTGGTCATGTTAGGTATATTTTAGAGATTAAACAGAGACACATTTTAGATAGATAGGTAGTCTACAAACACTTCAGAGACCTGTAGAATATGGCATTGAAGATGTTTTAATAACCTGTGGCTTTAGATGACAGTGTGACACGTCTGCTCCTGACAGCACCAATTTACTTCAGAAAGGGTGATGGGCATCCAAGAACCTCTGCATGGAATTTTCTTTTATTGTGCCTTCTCTTCTGGCTGCAAGCTAATCCCAGCTACTTTTCCAGCACATTGCCTGTGTGCTGCCATGCTCCCCACCATGATGATAATGGACTAAATCTCTGACCTGTAAGCAAACCCCAGTTAAATGCTTTCTCTTATAAGAGTTGTCTTGTACAATCCCAGTGCCAGTGAGTCTGGGAAACAAGGAAGTTCCCAAGAGAGATGCGTGATACCCCAGAGAAGTGGAATGAAGCAAGATCTCCTGAGCACATTGCGAACATCCGGGGGAGGGGAGAGGGAACCAAGAAAAAGAGAGGGGGATAAGAGGAGGGACGAAGAAGACATGGGGGAGCAAAAAGGTTGAGTCGAGGTAAGAATAGAAGAGAACAGGATGAGAGATACCATAATAGATCGAGTCATTTTAGACTTGAGGAGAGAGCTGACACTAGTGAGATCTCCAGAGATCTACAAGGATAACACCAACTGGCAAACTAAGCAATAGTGGAGAGACTACACTAATAGCCCCTCCTTGATGATAGGGTTGATGATTACCTTATATGCCATCCTAGAACCTTCATCCAGGGACTGATGGAAGCAGAGACAGATATCCACAGCTAAACACTGAACTGAACTCCTGGAACCTAGGGACAGAGATAGAGGAGTGATGAGCAAAGGGGTCAAGACCATGATGGTGAAATCCACAAAGACAGCTGACAGGATAAGGGGGAGCTCTTGAATCCCAGACTGATGGCTGAGAGGCCAACAGCGGACTGATCCAGACTCCATGAATGTAGTGCTAGAGAGGAGGCCACAGAAATCACTGGGGCCTTGGGTAGTAGATCAGTGTTTACCATGGTTTATGAATTATCTTTGGGTGCCCATTCCAAATAGAGGGATGCTCTCTCAGCCTGGACACATGGGAAAGGGCCTAGGTCCTGCCCTGGATGAAATGACAGACTTTAGAGATTCCCCCCCAAGGAGGGACTCACCCTCCCTGGGGAATGATGTGGGGATTGGATGGGGGTCTGGGGGCCTAGTGGAGGGACAAGGGAGGAGGGGTGGGAGAGGGAGCTGGGATTGATATGTGAAGCATTCATGTTTCATTTTTTTTTTTTTTGGTTTTTTCGAGACAGGGTTTCTCTGTGGCTTTGGAGGCTGTCCTGGAACTCCCTTGGTAGTCCAGACTGGTCTCGAACTCACAGAGATCCTCTTGCCTCTGCCTCCCGAGTGCTGGGATTAAAGGCGTGCCCCACCAATGCCCGGCCAGCATTCATGTTTCTAATTTAAATAAAAACATATATTGAGAAAAAAAAAAGAGTTGCCTTGATCATGTTGTCTCTTCACAACAAGAGAACATTGACTAAGACATTGGTTATGTTTCTTCACTTTGAAGGCAGGCAGATCTCTGTAAGTTCGAGACCAGCCTGGACTATCAAGCGAGTTCCAGGACAGCCTCCAAAGCCACAGAGAAACCCTGCCTCGAAAAACCAAAAAAAAAAAAAAAAAAAAAAAAAAAAAAGAACTTTGAAACAGTAGAGACATTGAACTCCTCCCACCACAATAAAAGGAAAGCTATCTCAGACAAAATAATGGGCAAACATCCTAATTTTTTAAAATACGCAATAAATATGAATGCTCTATTCATGGAAGAAATGTAAGTGACCAATTAACATTCAAAGATATAACTGAAGTAATTATCAAATAAGTGAAGAATCCCAAGACTTACATGTCATAGCCATTTGTACAATACATGATTTTACCAGGCAATTTGTTAATAGATATCAAAAACCTTGAGTACCAATTCTGCTTTTAGGAATTTACACTTGGAAAATAATCCTGATAAGTAACTGAGTCATAAAGGGAATGTTTAAAATGCTCTCATTGTACAGGGGGGGGGAGACAAAAATATTAAGGTAAATCAGACAGTGGTGGCACATGCTTTTAACCCCAGTTTTCAGGAGGCAGAGGCAGTCGGATCTCTGTGAGTTCGTGGCCAGCCTGGTCTACAGAGCGAGTTCCAGGACAGCCTCCAAAACAATACAGAGAAACCCTGTCTCGAAAAACAAACAAACAAACAAGAAAACAATAAAGTTAAAATTGTCCAAGCATGTGACAGTGTCTAACACCTGTGCAGCCTGCAGAGGACTGCAGTGAGGAACCACTCTAGAGTAGTAAAACTGAGCATGTATACTATTAGCATCTCTGTGTTACTCGAAGGCCTCCTTCGTTCCTCCAGATTAAACACCTTTCCGTGTCTTAGATTCATACTACCATTTGTTGCAGGGACATGGTCTTTTAGGCTATGTCGCCCAGGATGGCCTCAAACTTGAGATCCTCCTGCCTCAGCTTCCAGGCTGCTGGGATCACAGGTATGCAGTAGTGGCTCCTGGCATTTCTATTTCCCTCTCAACTAAATAAAACAAAGTTTTCTCTACCCAAGAACACATTTTGTTTGTAGAGGACATGCTTACTTATTTCAGGTCTGGCCCTTCATTCCTTAGAATGCCAGACATACTGGGAAGATTCTAGGCACTGAAGATGTGGGATTTGGCTCTGTCTTTGAGGGGCAGAGCCTCATAAATGTGCAATGGTTTACCAATGGCACTCCTTCTTTCTTCCTGCCCACCTCCCACCCTCATTGTTGTTTGTTTTTTAATGACAGATTCTCACTATGTAGCCCTGGATGCCCTGGAACTTGCTGTGTAGACTAGGCTAGCCTCCATTTCCCATCTGCATGGTTCTGCCACTAGTGCTAGGATTGAAAGTATGCGCCACCACTCCTAGCTTCTCAAGGGTACCATTCCCAGCACTGGAAACAGGTTTTCTTCTCTGCTTTGTAATTACTAATCAAAGCTTGGATGAGGTCCCCTCATCAAGAATCATGCCCATCAATTCCCTGCTTCCAAAATTCTCGTTCTCTATGCCAGCCTCGTACAATTAACAAGTGGAAACATTCTGGCCAGGATCCTGAATCATGCACGTGGTTCTCATCGTTTCTCTCTTAACAGTGCACAAAGAAAGCTGGGAGTGAAGGCTCATTCTTTCCTGCCAGCTCAGACCAGGTCCCTAGCATAGCAAGCCTCTGGCACAGCAGCTGACAAGGACAAAGACCTCCAAGGTTACTTTCTCCCTAGTGACTTAATGACCGAACCATCAATCAAAGACAGGGAAGAGACAAAATATAAAAGCATTAGAAGAGTCACCCCAGGGCCCTCAGAGATTATTAATGAGCAAAATGTCTCAGCTCACTTCCATTAACCTCTGTACCTCTTCTGCCATCCTCTCCCCCTTTCTTCTTGCTCTGGATTCTTTTGAGACATCTCTTTCGAATGAAGGATAGAGAGCTTGGGCTCCCCCTTGAGGTAGAAGTGTGCTAGTATGTCCCCTTGTACTGGGTCTTGAGTTCTCCTTACTCATCAGCCTTCCTAAACTGAGTTGTTTGGTTTTACTCATTTTCTTTTCAGGGAGACTGTCTACAATTCCCATGACACTTATTGGAAGTTCCACACTCTTCCTGTGTTAGCTACTCTGACTTTGACAACTGAGAGGGTCCCTGGCCTGAGGCATAAGTAGCAGTGTGCTTTCCAGCTTTGACTTTGATCTCTCCAACCACCACCCTCCAAAATGCACCACTCTACTTGATGTCTCCCCATCTTGCATTGCTCCCTTCTTCTGGATCGATATATGTCTTCATTTTGCATACAATTCTTTTCCTGCCTTTTTCTCAGCCCTTTCAAATTAATTTCTTCTATTCTTCAAAAGTCTGATTCATGCAACACTCTCCCCCACACACCTCTGAGATCCTGTAAATCAGTTTACAAAGCTCTTCTCAAATCCCTTAATTGTAGCTATCTCTCTCTATTTGTTTTACTATTCCCACTGGTAAGCACACAATTTCTAGCACATGTGAGAGTCATTAGATAAATATTGAATGAAGTTGTTGAAGGACGAGTTCAAACACCCAATTTGCTATAAGCAAATATAGCTTTATTTTGAAAGATGAGAAAAAAGAAAGTGTGAAAAGAGGGATAGAAAAGATGGTAGAACAGGAAAAATAAAAGCAGAAGAAAGAAAAGTGCCTGGAAGGCAAAAGTTATGAGACCTACAGTATATTCCAGAAACAGCGCTAACGTGAGAATCAGGAAGCTGCACTCAAGCCCTGTTCAGTTGTTAGTCAAACGGCAAGCAAACTACTCTCTGAGCCTGGTTCTCTAGAGGAGGGAAGCTCTGGGTTATGTGCACTCTGAAACTGTGTGACCATCTTCTCACTCCAAGATTCTGATGGCTGACTGAATGAGATGGCATTCAGAGGGCCAGTGAGATGGTTCTGTGGGTAAAGACATTTGCCACTAAGACAGAGGACCTGAGTTCAATCCCTGGGCCTTACCCTGTGGGAGGAGAGAACCGACTCTTAAAGGTTGTTCACATATAATCATGGCAAGCCCTCCCACCTCAAATAAAACATTTTTTAATGGGAAGGAATTTAAATAAAGCACATTAGAAAAAGATACAGGGCCCAGGGAATTAAACTGTAATTTCTGGGACTTAAAATGAGTACAAATACTCAGGATCTTTTTTTTTTTTTTTTTTTGGTTTTTCAAGACAGGGTTTCTCTGTGGCTTTGGAGACTGTCCTGGAACTAGCTCTTGTAGACCAGGCTGGCCTCGAACTCACAGAGATCCGCCTGCCTCTGCCTCCCGAGTGCTGGGATTAAAGGCGTGCGCCACCAACGCCCGGCAGGATCTTAAAATAATAGGAGTTATGTAAAAGACTTTTGTGATTATTAAAGCTTAGTTGTATATTTTTGAAATGCTGTTCTGAATTTGCTTTTCTTACAAAAGCAAATCTATCTATGTGTCTGTGTAGGAACTTGTGTGTGTAAGTACAGACGCCCACAGGCCAAAAAACCGGCACATCTCTTGGAGTTATAATGTCTTCATTAGGGTTTCTATTGCTATGAAGAGACACCATCACCACAGCAACTTTATAAAGGATAAACATTTAATTGGAGTGGCCTAGATTTTTAGAGGTTTGATCCATTATCATCATAGTATGACATGGTGGCATTCGGACAGATGTGGTGCTGGGGAAATAGCTGAGAGTCCAACATTCCTGATCCTCAGGCAACAACAAGTGAACTATCTCACTGGGTGTGGCTTGAGCATAGGAGACCTCAAAGCCTGCCTCCACCGTCACACTTCCACCAAGACCACACTCTCCAACAAGGCCACACCTCCTAATAGTGCCACTCCCTTTGGGGACCTTTTTTTTTGTTGTTGTTGTTGTTTTACGAGACAGGGTTTCTCTGTATTGTTTTGGAGGCTGTCGGTCCAGCCAGGCCTCGAACTCACAGAGATCTGCCTGCCTCCCGAGTGCTGGGATTAAAGGCGTGTGCCACCACCGCCTGGCTGGGGGCCATTTTCTTTCAAACCACCACATATAGGTAGTTGTGAACCACCCAATGTGGGTGCTGGGAACTGAACTCAAGTCTTCTGTAAAAAAACATCAATTACTCTTAACCACCGAGACATCCCTTGTGCCCCCTTTAGGGGATTTCAAAACTATCCACTGTCCTTGCAAATTAGTGTTGCTGATGCCCCTCTGAGTCTACGCATGTGCTGTTCTTTCCTGTGTACTGATA